GCTCATGATCACCCTGTACTCTCGACAAATGTCATTAATAATGTCCGAAGGTCTGTAGATTGTTCGTGGGTCTTGAAACTTGTGCATTACTTCTCGACCAATGAACCATGATTGCGCTTGCCTGTGATCATTTCGATGAATATCCACTTTGCAAGTATGTTCCCGTGCATACTTACAATCCATAAAGAACTCATTCATGTCTATTTTCGTTGCTCGTAAATGCCAAAGACAACTGTCTTCAACGCAGACAATTGTGTTAGTCGACTTGTTTGATTTCTTTACTTTAAACTCAAAATTGTGTTTCAAAGCAATCCGGTGAACAGCTTCCTGCAAATCTTTCTTCGTGTCAAACAGTTGCTCGACATACAAATCTTCATCATCGTGGACTATACGCGAACAATTAGAGGATCGTGCACTCGATCCAGTCTGTGAGCTCCCTCTTGACACATGTCTCAAACTGGATAAAGCAATCAAATTCTTATTTGTAAAGTCATTATCTCTTTCGTTGTCTTGAACTACCGAGCAAATTCTGTGTGTAACAGTGAAATCATGGTGAGAAGAACATTTTTTTTTATTTGTATCCGTGCTTTTAGCTTGTTTCAATGATTATTTCATCACAAACATAGATGAATTCAAATAACCAAGGTTTCCTATACATAGGAGAACAAAGAAAAATAATCTCTCCCATTCGATATGGAATAAATTGACATTTTACGTGAGATTTTCTTCAATGAGGCTACAAAACAACCATTCTATGCACTTAAAATATGAACAAAAACTATGGCGATAGTCACCCCCAGGGCACATCTCCAAGTGGTAAAAGGGGAGGGTGGAGAAATCCAACTTTACTTGAGACTGCTACATCAAGGGTTCGAATCCAGAAATATGGATTTGGCTCTTGGGTAAGTGCAAATGTACAAGTAGCCTTTCACCCTATACCCTTGGAGGCATAACCTGCGATTTACCTCCCTCACGATACTCCAGGGCAGAGGCAGTGGGGGACCTTTAAAGTTGGGGTTCAACATTTTTTAAAAACTATGGTGATAGTCTCTCAAACCCCTCCATAAGAGAAATTTGATAAAGTGATCAAAATTGTGAAAAGGCAAGAAATTTCACTTTTGAAAATGAAAATTTTCATCTTGAAAAGTCTCTCCACGACTTTTTTGAGACGAAATAACCAAATCATCATTTTTTTAAACAGAAAAAGTGAAATTTCTTGTAGCTTGATACTTATAATTTGCCTCTGGTTTTCAAGTTCTGAAGTCAATATCTTCTTCCAATTTCTACATCATCTAATAAATCTGGGCTGGCGTTTCTTGAACTGGATCCCAACTGCCCTCTCTTATACGAGGAATGAAGACCATTTTCTTCCAAAATTCTGATAAATACATGAGTTGCCCATCCTGTAAATTATTAAAAAGATTTAAGAATAAATTGTGCATTTGAAGAACATTTTATAGTTATTTTACAATTAAAATTCAAAATAGATCTCTGGTTCAAATCTTGCTATTACCTTTTTATGAAATTGTGTATTGTTAGCTTTGAAAGGATAAATCGTAAAGTGTTTCAAACGAGAGTCTTAAGGTGGGAATTACTTTTAGGGCAAGTAACTTATTCTAACATATTTGAAAACAAAAATTTAAGTAACTTTTACTTATTTTTAAGCTATACACGCTCTCACTGGGTGGGATGGTGAAATCGTTTACGCACCATTGATGTCCTGTGGGAATGGGAAGAATTGCAGATAGCAAAACGAAGATACCAATAGGCCTACATTAAACCAAATGGACCGGTGATATATATTGTTGTTCAACATCAAAAGAATCATGTGTGGGAATGAAAGTGAAACAAGGAACGGAAGTGGAATAAAACTAAAATTGGAGGCGCAAGATGAATGCCATGCGACCACATAGCAATATGGCCATGCGATTGGAGAGGCCAGTTTGAAGAACTCCATAACAAATGACCATTGGAGGTCGTTTCTGGCGGCTTTTGGAGGGTTTCTTGCAACCTTTCAACATGGTTTTGGCACCAATTCGTGGCATTGATTGAGGCTTATAAATAGGCCATGGATGATCAATGAAAAAAAAATATAGAAATATTATTACAAACATATGATGAACATTCTTTCATTCCGCAAGGAGACATCAAAATCTTCTTCATCCATATTCAAATTCCCCTAGTGTTCTTCAAGTTTTGGAGAGTCACACAAGTGCTTAAGTGTTTGATTCTCTACAAGGTTTGATTAATCCTACAAATCATTTGCCGCGAGATCATTTAAGCACCAAAATTGTTACCGAGAGGGGGCAAATATCGTTTGAGGACAACGATATAGTGTCGTGTTTCAACCTTTCATATTGAGTTTGTTCTTCACGTTTATTTCATCTTCTTGATATTATCTATCTTGGTTCTTCTCCATTTTTCCTGGTGTTGAAAATTCTCCAACAATCTCAAACGATAATTGGCAATGGAGAACAAAAATCATTTTGGCGAGATCAAGTTGATAAAGATCTAGATTTTGGTTGAAATGTTCAATGGGACAAAACATCACATGAAGGCAAAATCCGGATTTAATACCGCTACCAAAATCAACACTACATTGGAAAAGGAAATCTAGAACGTTTGGAAAGAAATGATTGAATCCAATTTATCGCAAATGGAGAAACTCCAGATAAGTGCTATATAATTCATTTAATTCAATAAGTGATAGGTGGTGATTCTATGGTTGAATAGCCAAAAAAATAAAAATAAAATAAAATAATTCCTGCCTATTTGTGTCAAAGACCATGATTTTGAACCTTTTCGGTGTGCATAATTTACTTGGATAAACTGGACCATAATTTTGCTCAATCTGGTCTTGACACATGTTATTGGAAAAAGACAAAACTCACTAAATGAACATTGCTTGATGCATAATTGTTTGGCAGTTAACTGTCCTCATTTGTGAATGGGCATGAGCATGTTTGATAGGCCAACCGTTGTGTTTACATCTTTGTTGAATATGAATTTGAAAAGTGCATGAGGTTGTTAAAGATGAGACAATCTATTTGTGTGTTTATAGGTGGAATAAATATTCAAACATTAATTGTCTTTTAATTAAATACATGTCTGTAAATACGTTTGCATTTAAAGGTTAGTAATGTATATATTTTGTTGAAGGAATTATGCATTCCTTCATCAGTAACTGCTTTTAGTTAATTGACAATTAAATGTAATTATAAGTTTAAATGAAAGTGCACATCCTTTCACTTATGTCCGTTGCGTGCATAATGGAAATCTGGTAAATTCTTTGCTTGGCATAAAACCTGTTTCTGTTGGTAACTTTAATCATCTATTCTGAACCTTACTGGTTGTCGATCTCTTTGGAAATAAATGACATTAGAGAATTGTATCCTTTCCATTGAAATCCATTAATGGGTGTTGATCAATAAATTATTGATTTAAATCAGTTTTATTAAATGATGATTCTGATATGAAAAGTTGTTAGAAATAATGAATGAAATCATGAGAACTTGATTGTACATAAATGGCTGCATGTGTTTACTCACATTAAATTTATTAAAGGGAGTGAAAAATATGGGAAAGAAAGAATCAAGTAACGGTCTGATTGGTTAATTCTGGATTGGTTCTTTTGGTGTTTTTCTTTTTTTATATTTATTGAGAAAATAAAGCAGTTCTAGTAGAAAGTGCTTGCAAAATTATTGAGATATGAAAACATCTTATAGAGCAAAATTTGAGTTTGCATATGATTGCGACAAAACGTGATTTTGTCCAAATGTGAATAAGGTGAACATGTACATCATAGTTTGATATGATACAATATTATCTTATGTCAAAAAGCGATAAGTCGCTTATATTTGGAGAAATAGTAAATCTTGTGAATCAAGATGTTTAGTTTTATTTATTGATGAATTTGACTTCAATTGTGGAACCAATTGAGTTGCTTTATGCTTGAAAAATATTAATGGTCTATGAGATGACATTGATCAAATTGTGTGATCAAAACTAAAGATAGTTGGATTGAAAGTCATTGTGACTTAACGACCACTATCTGAATATACTTAAACTTTCACAAATGTTATCAAAGTCAATTGAACTATGAAAGAGTTAATGAACTCTAAGTTCAAGTATATTCCCAAATGTGGGGGTTATTAATAACGCTTGTGAACTTGTATGAGAAGTTCAAGATATAATATTACAAGATTGCATGAGAATTCCTAATTGAGGAATTGTGGGGGTAACTTAATATAAAAGTTAAAATTCCCTAAATATTTTAATCATAAAAATATATCTATGAAGGAGAAAATGTGGAAAACCCCTATATATAATTATAAGGATGGATATACTAAGTCTAAGGTGGATAAATTGGGTGAAAGCCGATTATGGCGTTTACAAAACAATTTGAATATTTAAAATATATTCATGCTATTGAAAATCAGTGTAATAATTCAATGATTACAAGTGAATACCCAAGTATGAAATCCACAATAAAAGTGATTTGACTAGTGTAATGATTTGATGGAAATCATCCAATGATGTTTTGAAAATTAATAAGGATTTAAATAAAGCGTGTGAGAAGCATGTGGCTTTTTGGTGGTGACGAGTTGTATCTATCAAATGAATCGATCATTGGTAGCTATATTTTGATAAGATACTGCGTCACATGAAATGAGAAGTAAAAACATATAAGTCTTAGAGGTGACATCACAAGATGGAATAATTTCTAAAGAGAATTTAGCGGATCTTTTAACTAGACACTAAATAAAATTTATTGGCATCTACTTTGATAGGATGGGGTTGACACTCCTAAGCTATAAAGATCCACCAATGATGACAACCTTACCTGTCATTGCTCAAAAAGTAATCTACGGGTTCAAAGAGTATCAACAAGTCATTCAATATGTGGATGATTGCAGCATTATTTAAATCCGCAATAACCCTATCTTAATGAAAATAATGTTGGTTGTTACTAAAGTGAGGGTTGAGCAATTAAAACTCTTGATGAAGTTCAGTGCTAAAACACAAGTACTGGAAGAATTGGTGCCACCTCGATTGAGAGTTGAAGTTTCTCCCTTAAAAGTTTGTTGAATAGGATGAGCGCAAGGCTATAAAAGCGCTAAGCAAGTTGAGGAACTTGAGAACACATGGTACTCATGTGTGTGTTCTAACCGGTATTGTCACATGAAATAATTGGTTCAAAGCTACGACTACCTTTGGTTCCGACTTTACCTTGTTTGGATTGCACTATGATTAGATTCAAATCAAAAGATATCTAATCTTTATACATGGGTATCGTACACTTTGAATATGAGATCTTATTGAATGTTGAACAAGTGGGGGATTGATATATATTGTTGTTCAACATCAAAAGAATCATGTGTGTGGAATGAAAGTGAAACAAGAAAGGGAAGTGGAATAAAACTAAAATCTGAGGCCTAAGATGAATGACATGCAACCGCATAGCAATATGACCCGAAACTGGAGAGGCCAGTTTGAAGAACTCCATGCGACCTCATGGAGTTATACCATGCGGTTGCATGATAGTAACAAGTGATTGTTGAAGGTCATTTCTGGTGGCTTTTGGAGGGTTTCTTGCAACCTTTCAACATGGTTTTGACACCAATTCATGGCATTGATTGAGGCCTATAAATAGGTCATGGATAATCAATGAAAAAAAATATATAGAAATATTATTACAAACATATGATGAACATTCTTTCATTCTGCAAAGAGAAACCAAAGTCTTCTTCATCCATATTCAAATTCCCCTAATGTTCTTCAAGTTCTGGAGAGTCACATAAGTGCTTAAGTATTTGATTCTCTACAAGGCTTGAGTAATCCTACAAACCATTTGTCGCGAGACCCTTTAAGCTAGCGATGACAATTTAAACCGTTAAAATCGAAAATTGCGGTTAACCAAACCAAATGGGGCGAAAAAAATCGAACCGATTGTGCAATGGGGCGAATATGGTATTTGATTTTGATGAACCGGTTCATGACGGTGCGGGTATGATATTTATGCCGTCAAACCGAAACCAAACCGATTACCTTCTTAAAAAAATCATTCTTTTATTAGGGATGATAAGATTTAGTAAGGAGGAAGTTGATGAAGAGGTACTTTTTTTCTTTAAATCTTAGTTAAAACCATTCTGGATTAGGTAGTATCGTTGTATTCTCTATTTACATTTCTTATTTACTATATATGAATCAATTTTGAGTGGTGACCTATGCTAGTAAGAGTTGTGGGGAAGAATGAAGATTGAATATGAGTTAAGGTTGAAGCTTTTGAATTATTGAGCATGAATCAAGTAATTACAATGCACAAAATCAAGAATGAAAAGGAAAAGTTTAGTATTGTTATATTCATAATATTGTTTGTTAAATTTGTATTTTGCAATTGAAATTTGGGAAAATGTTTGTATTTTCGTTTGGAATATTGTGTTTTTGTTTTCATTGACTCTCTTTTCATAAATTGTTTTATATCAATTTGACAGATGGACCTATAAAAAATAATTTATTTTCGTGGTTATTAACCGAACCAAACTGAGTCGAACCGAGATACGAACCGAACTGATTTACGTGGTTATGGTGCAGTTATGGTATGGCAAAAAATTTGACGGTTCGATGATGGTTTTTGCCGAACCGAAATCGAACCGTTGCCATCCCTACTTTAAGCACCATAATTGTTACTGAGAGTGGACAAATATCGTTTGAAAACAACGATATAATGTCATATTTGAGCCTTTCATATTCAGTTTGTTCTTCACGTTTATTTCATCTTCTCAATTTTCCCCAGTGTTGAAAATTTTCCAACAATTAGTACAATATATATTTACACAATACACTAACTTGAAGAATTCTTATACTTCAAATTTAGCTGAAGACTAAGTTTTAAAAATTGAACAATGCCATAGGTACAGGATTTTTTGATAGAAAAATCTTACAAACAACGCATGGTGCAATATCATTGGAAGATGAAAAAAAAGTCCAATCATGTTTTGCCACATCAGTGTTGATACAAATTTTGTTAGAATTTTCCTGTACTCATGACTTTATTATTAAAAATTTACTCATAAATACTTAAGTTTGAAGCAAATAATTGTTTTGAAGTGAAAAAGTTAAAAATAAGTAATGATCCAGCAATTACATCCATAAAATGATGCCAATAATCGTCCACATGAGAAATTGCGACAAGTGTGGCGAAGAGATATGGGAGGAGAACAATGCAAAGTTTTGCAGCATGGCCTCTTCCATCAAACAATTTTATTTTCCCACACAAATACCATGAGAGGTATCCCAGACCAGCAAATGACCCTGAACATTCACAATAATCAAGTGAGACGAAAATAAACTACGCAAACAGAAAAAAGTAGACTGATTTGGACTACGTGGTCAGCCGAATATCTTATTCTACACAACAAATTCCAGGGAAAGGTGACTACTTGTGCCAAAAGATAATAATTTGTTAGCTCACTTCTTATTAGAGTGAAAAATCAGCAGTGACAAGTGGACCCACAATAATCCACTATAAATTTGTATGTTTGTCCTTCATGTTGATGATTTCATTTTGATTATTATTAGAGCTGGGGAGAAAGCTTTATTCTATAACAATTTATGGATATGAAATAAAAGGAAAAATGCCATGCCATGTCTTTACCTCATGTAAAACACGTTTATGAGTGCTTATAAGCTACTCAAACTCTATTTTCATTCACACATTTCGAAAAATCAAAAACTTTTACCTATTTTTGAACCACAGTTTCGTGGGACCCAACGTTCATAAGCACAATCCTTAAAAGATTAGCCAAGCAATTGTTAGTCCATAATTCAAATGTTCCATTCGACTAGTAATACATAGGAAGACAAGCTGATAATCTATAATTCAAATGTGAAAGCTACTTACAAGAGGAATGCCCACTTGGGAAGCTTTTATATCCTTCTCTAACAAGTTTTACATCTCCTGTGCACATAACATCCCCATTCAGAGGATCAAATACCTGGACATACCCAACAGAACATTCTTAAACAAGTTAAACCATATTGTAAGAACATCGATTTGTTAAAAATCGACAATGATAACAAGATTTCCTGTGAAGCTTGTCGAGAATAGACACCCCTACACCACCTGGGAAGCACCGGTAGGAAAAATTGGGACGAGGTCGTCCAACAGCATCATTTATTGAATCCGTGACGACTGCAGTTACCAAAACAGAATATAGAAGACCTATAAATGTACATATCGAACGAACTAGCCATTCAATGAGACATACCTCAACAGAATATTTATGCAAAAACGTTGAAGAAACTGATACCCAAAACAGCATAGTGCAAATCATAAACATCCCTTTTGTAGAAATAATATAAGAGAAATTTGACATAGGGCAAAAGTACTGCAAATATCTGAAAAGGAACATATAAAAACTGTGTTAAATTATTCACTCAACTTATATTGTAGTTTCAGTTTTAGGCATTCTGCCCTGCTTGAAATACTGTAATGATATCTAAAACATGTAGCTATGCAAAACATATAATTTTTGACAAGTCTTGTTTTCGAAATGTATTTTTATGAAGAAACAAGAAAAAAAAATGAAGCCCAACTTGTCTAACAAGATGCATTTTGCCTATCGAACGATAAAAGTAATGCACAAATAGATTTTTCATAGCATGTAAGAATTTCTGCTCTTTAGAAGATACAACATACCGGAACAGCCCACATAGGCACAGTGTCTGATATTTTCAAAGGATACTTTAGATAAGTCATTATATTGGAGCTGACGTAACGATGAAACGGTTCAATTGCATTTAAACCAGCATCTATTGCTGCGAGGACAAGGAGGATCGACCAGTCGTGCATGTGAACACGGAGGAGCTTCGACCCGTGGGATTTTATGGTGTGCCCTAAAAACTGAACCTCCGGCATTTTGATAATATAATCTACAAAAAGAGAAACTTAACTAAAAAAATGACACAAAATCATTGTAGATCATGCCTGTGTTATGTCCATATCCATGCAGATCATCCTGATAAGATACCAACTGGAAAGAACAAGTTGAATTGTGGAATAAGTGATTATTTGATTAAAAACGGATGATTGCAGAAACTGGAATGAACATAAAGCTTGAAGAAGGCTATAAACAAGAACAAACAACTCTACTACTCACTCAAATATTTGCCTATCTTCTACCCTCCCTTCTACCTTTATTTATAGCAATTTCCTAACTAATTCCCCTCCCACTTGCCCTTGTAACAGAATTCTGTTGCTATCCCTCATTCTTGAGTCTTCTGGGTTCTTCTAGGGTTAGATGCTTATCAATGCCCCGGGGTTCCAAAGACACCTTGTCCTCAAGGTGAAAATTAGGGCCAATTTTCATCATACAAATCAAAATCTGAACAGGCCAGAATCAAGCAGAATGTTGCTAGGTTTAATATCTTTGTGTACAGTTCGAAGTCGGTATTGTTAATGCAGATAAGACCTCTTGTTACTCCCAAGCATATGTTGAAGCGTGTTGGCTAGTTAAGAGCTAAACTTCTATTCCCAATTAATACTTGATCAAGACTCTTGTTTTAGAGATGCTCATGAACAAGCAACGATTTATCTACCTCGATGCAACATCCATACACTTTCCCCAGATTACAGCGTTGCACAACTAATATAGTGACACTCTTCGCAACAAATTGACTCTTTCCTTGATGTGATGCCACTGGCATTGCGTATTAGCAACAACTCTCAAAGGGGTTTCATCAGTCTCTTTTATTAGGTTAAAGTCTATGAAATCCAATTTTCCCTTGGCATATATATGAAAAACACGCCATCCTAGACCCATCCACTTAATAGGAGCTAGAATTCCAATTTCTGCAAACTTAAGTTTTACAGTAAAATTACCATTCTCAAGATCCAATCTATAGTATCTCAACGTTCCAGCAGGAATTCGAGCAGTTTGAAACAACTCGGAGTCAATAGCAGGAAATTGGGACGAAGAAGAGCCTTCATAGCATGGGCTGTTGCTATCAGAAGGCTGACCAATATTGCTAACTGCCCATCTGTCTGTACTGCTTGTGTAATGTGTTGTAGGACCAAGAGACTCTTCGTCCATCTCATATACAATGTGATCTAAACCACCACATTTAATGGCACAACTGGCATTCAACCGAGTATCTATCATGAGTATGGTATCCAACGAAACTCCATAGCCAGTAGTCCCTATCCACTGAATGCCCGAATTTTGATTCAAAGATGGGTTGGGTACCGATGTAGGGATTGAAGAGGGAGTCGCTATCATGCGAATTGGGGAGAGAGATGTTGTATTCACGTTGCAGGAAGGAAACAGACTTGTATTACAGATTGGGCCTGGTTTTCCTTGGGCTTTCAATATGAAGTTGATTTGTACTGATTGGGCCCTCTCCAAAATCAAGCCCACAGGTTTTACAATATGAACTTCAACCCTATTTGCTAGCCCATTGACATATTTCTCCTCTTGTCCGTTCGTTGATGCCTTTATCTTGTCCAGCTTGTTTTGCAGTGGACTTCCTAGTTCAAAAACCTTCGATGAAGGAGAAGCTAGGGCTTCCAACATCTCTTTTTCTTTGGTAGTACCTTCATGTTGCAGTCCCACACTTTCAAGATTTCCACTCATGGCTGCCTTAGGATGAATCAATGTTTCTATAGCCTTCTCGGTAGCCTCCATTGGTTACAACATTCTGGCCATGATCTGGGTTAAACATTCCACGGACCCTTCCACTCCAGATAAGCACTGAATTTTTTTTTTCAATTTCTTCATCTTCTTTTCCATTGCATTCACTCGGCTTTCTATCTTCTTCTTGGCCAGCAGATCGAACCTGCTCTGATAGATCTGATGGAATTTTGGGATGATTAGATCATCAAAACTAGAGTATCCAATAGGCTGCGAGAGATCTCCATAAGAAGTAGGATTATAAAGACCCAATTTATAAGAGTTGTAATAAGAAAAGATCCATGGAAATACTGGACCTGCAGCCCCTTATTTTTATTATGATGCTCGTGTGTATTTTTCTCCTTCCACCGATGGTAAAGTCGATTTCCTAGTTGCAGCAGATTAGTTCTTAAATCTGGAGAAATCGGTTGGTTTTTATGGGTGTAAATAATAGTTGGGCCATTTATCCTTACTCCATATAGGCCCATTACATCTTGGGTTTGATTAAATGAAATTTTGCAATTTCCTTGTTGGGCCATCTCTCTACTATAATCCAAACCCACTATCTTCACCCATTTTTCATCTGTCATCTTCTTTGGAGTCGGCTTAACCAGTTGCTCTTCCATTACAATGGCTAAAATGTTCGCCACGGGGATTACCCATGCCTCAGACTGCTGGTGGTACTCCTCTTCAAGTGCAGGGCTCTCTAGTTGTCGATTTCGGTACTTTGGTCTCCATTGTTCGCCCAGTCCTTCTTTCACTTCTCTGTTTCCTTCCTTCACAACTGGCGTGTCCCACTCTTCTCCCATGGGCCCCTTGTGAACCTTAGGTAGTAACTGAACCCCTGTCACACTAGTCTTCCCTCCTTCTAGCGCCAGTGGAATTTTTGAAAATCGAAACTCATACTTCTCCTCTTCCTTCGATGGTGGTGGCTGTTCATTCTTTGTCTCCCAGAGTGCTGTCGTCCAGTTCACCACCCTCCCCGGCTTACCTTCTGGAATTTCTTCAACAATCGAGATCTGCTCCTCATGGAATTGAGCCAACGTCAACGCCTTCAATTCTTCCCAGGTTTGTATCGGACAGCAGCAGTCTATCTCTTGAAACCATGCCCAAGCCTCTCCAAGGAAGCAAGCGACTGCGGCTTCTACTTTCTTCCTCTCCGGTAAGTTTCGATTCATGTTTATGCATTGTTCTGCCTCAAACAGCCATGAATCTAAATTATCCCCATAGAATATCTGTGTGTTGAGTCGGCCACATGTATCCAACCCTGAATCAACGGCTCGACTTTCTTTCTGTTGCATCGCCATCATCTCCGACTCACTCCTTATCAAGCTCAAACTCTCTTTTGATTCTCTGCTGCTGAAAATAGTTTTCCTTAGTCGAAGAATCGATCGCTTTGATACCAATTGATAAGATACCAACTGGAAAGAACAAGTTGAATTGTGGAATAAGTGATTATTTGATTAAAAACGAATTATTACAGAAACTAGAATGAACATAAAGCCTGAAGAAGGCTATAAACAAGAACAAACAACTCTACTACTCACTCAAATATTTGCCTATCTTCTACCCTCCCTTCTACCTTTATATATAGCAATTTCCTAACTAATTCCCCTCCCACTTGCCCTTGTAACCGAATTCTGTTGCTGTCCCTCATTCTTGAGTCTTTTGGGTTCTTCTAGGGTTAGATGATTATCACATCCCCATGCTTAAACAGAGAAGAGTCTATTATACAGTATGGCATAAGGCTTTTCCCCACTAATCATGCTACGTGTATGATTGTTTGATTATCACAAGTGAACGAGATCGTGAATAAGTAATAAAGTGGTGTGTAGAATATCGAACTCACGAGGATTATATGTTTGATCAAGTTAAAGCTAACACTACCCTTAATCGAATAGCAAAATGGAGTTGTAATTAAAAACTATTAAGTCTGTCAACTACCATAAAAGCAATGTAAGAAAGTTTATCAAATTTGCAAGAGATATTGCTAAGATGTAGAATCCTCCTTGTTATTCCATTTTTAGTGTAACAATTAAATTGACAATTTGAAATTATTCATATTGGTCAATGTCCTTAATTTAATTAAAAGCCTCTCTCGATAACAATCAAATATATTCCCCTCATGTGATCCTCTTATCTCTCGATGAAAGATGCAAACATGATAAATACATTAATAAGTTCTAGGACATCTATTGAAACCATATAAAGTATAGAGATATATCTTTATCTTCTATCGAACCTTACAATATTTATTATATTGTGTTAAAATTCTATTCTCTCGATGACAATAAAATTCATTAACAATTCAATTGGTGATCAAACAATTAAAAAGAACGATAAAAACGATAATAAACATCCACAAATAAAATCAAACTAAAATCAAAACAATTAATTAAAAGCTAAAAATATCATAACAAGGGTTCATCTCATCCTAACAATGTATAAAATTAGCCTAACATATTGAAATTACTAGAAATTATATAAAAGTGGAAAGATATAACACGGATTTTCGATAATTTAAGAAGATGAAGATAAATCTTGAAATCTTGAATTTCTTCAATGGTTTCTTAATGAATCTCCACTTGCACTCTCTCTTCTTTGTCCAATACCAAGTTTGAATCTTCACTTGATTGAATTCTTACAAGTCCCCTTCAATTCTCTCACAAAAACAATGAATTCTCCTCCTTTGATGATGGTAATTGATGAATATTGGAGTATACTATGTATAAGAGATATGTATGAGAGTCCCCTTCATGTATTCTCCTATTGGGTATCTATAGTAGTCGAAAATTGATGAAAAATCATGCCCAAATTGATTTCTAAAAGAGTCCCAATCGAATAAGGAAAGTTACACTCGTGCGCGGATTTTTTGTCTCTGCATAGCAGTCAGTATTTTGATCATAATTTTGTCTCTTGTTATCCGATTGAGTTGATTTAAAGTGCATTGGAAAACTAACTAAAAGGGCTACAATTTTTCTAGAGGTAGATATTTTCCAATTCGGATATTTACTATGCCAAAAATTGGTCGCAATATTTGACTAAAAATCTGGAAGATATATCATGTAGTTGGAAGTCGATTTATGGTAATTTTCTGATGATATTACATTCCTTTTTTTACTTCTAATTGCATCCAATTGACTCCCGTCAATCTTTAAAATATCTCTTATGGTCCAATTCAATCATTTGATATTTTCAATTTGGTCCTCAATTTTGTACTTCACCATTTTTCGCTTCGTTCTTTCAATTT